CTCATGAAATTGAGAATTATCATACTTGATTCTCATTAGCAACAGATCCATCGGTAGACCCAAGAGCGAAAAACGAAGAAGTGTAGATAATCTTCTGGATCGTTTTCGTCTCTTTAACTGCTTCCAAAACGTTCTTCAACCCACCGACGTTGACCTAAGCTTCACAAAAATCACCATTACCCCCACTGATCTCTCCGATGATTCACTGAACAATCAACTGATTTTGGTAAGTAAAAACACTTACCGAGACGAATTTAGATGGATCAGGAAGCCAAGGCTCAACCAAAGCAGCGGCATGGAAAACGATATCGCAACCGAAGCAAGCATCCGTTAAAGTACGGTAATCGGTTACGTCGCCGTACGCGAGCTCGAATCCATCGTCTTCGCTTTGTGAAGGCAAGTCGGAAATATCGCTGGTGCGACGGACCAAGGCGCGTACGGAGTAGCCACGACGGAGGAGAGCGTGGCACAGTCGTGCGCCTAAGTAACCAGAAGAGCCGGTCACTAATATTTTCATTTTTAATAATTTTTCGCAAACCAAAATTTGTTGTCTTGAGTTGCTTTATACTGGTGATTATTTCCCGGTTTAGCCAGACCGGTCGGTTCGAATTCGAAAAAATCATATATTCGATTTAAAAGAAAATTAATAATTATTGCTTTATATAGTAACTTGCTTCTATCTGTCACGATTTCCTTTTCCGCCGTAAGAACGAAGAAGAGAGAAATCGAATCTTGTGGTTTCCGATTTAAGCAAAGAGTTTGTTTAATCGGAGGAAATTTCTAGAGATCTTGAAGATTCCGGGACCATAGAAGGCGGTGGAGGATATGGTGGGATGACGGTGGTGGGAGATGGCGAGGGGAGGAGGAGAATGGACCGGAGGAGGGAACACCGGAGCCGGAGTTCTCCCTTTCAAAAGAATTACTCTACTAGTTTGCTTTGTCAACATTCTCATTGCTCTATTTGTTCTTCGATTTCTATATACTTCTTCTCTTAACATCTATTCATATAACGAGAATGGTGAGTGTCTGATTTGCTTACGATTTTGCTTGGATTACTCTTTGGTTGATGTCTGAAGCTCTGG